AGGTAACTCACCACCCACCTCCCCAGTGAGCAGATTTACTAACCCTAGCCCATCCTGCAGAATTCTGTATCAGCTTTATCAGGGAAAGCATCAGCATTCACCTTACATGTTGCATAGGATCTACTAGTTAATAAGACATGAATATCGTGCATGAAATTGACAAGGACCGATGGGTATGGATGGTGCTACGCAACACCTTCAGTCTGGGCTGCAGAATCTTCCCAGGATGGGTTCCAGGCCTTCAAGAGGCACCATCTTGGCAACACAGGTCAGTGTGGACGGCACAGCTGTCTAGCCTGGGCCTGACCTGCATGGTGGTGTCTTTGGGCAGCTATAACACAAGAGCAAAATAGACAGCTTTCCTGCTTCCTCTCTGCCTGCTGGACCAGGCCCTGTGACTGGCAGGAAGGCCTTCCTGCTTCTTTCTGTCTACCTTGCTGGGAGTCCCAATGACACAAACACCTAGAGTCAGGCACAGCTGGAGGGAGGGGATCCTCTGCCAACCCTTGCATCTATAGGGCTCCAAAGCCAGGAGAGCTGTTTAAGCTGCTGTTAATTCTGGCCAGAAGCTGCTTCTTCTGGCTCCAATCACCCAGCCAGGCTATATAGAAGCAGATGGGAGAGGGAAACGGGGATTTCACATAGGCAACCACTGTGGAGAGTTCTCACTTCTGCACAACTCCACACAGTGTGAAGAGGGCTTTCTCATTTTCGTCTGATCCTTGCTGATCCTCAGCACCTTGGGGAGTGCTATCCCTTGTAACCAAAAGGGAAACTGAGGCTCCAGGAGTCAAAGAAACATGCCTGATGTTACCCAGTAAGAAGTAGCTGAGCCAAAACCCAAGCTAGGGCTGACACAAGAACCAGTGCTCTTTCCAGGGCGAAAAACTGCTTCTATACAATTCAAAGGATCAGAAATCAGAAAGGCAGGTATCTAACTTACTCTTGATGATATTTAATTCACAAATATGATATGCTGCCTGCCTTTGAACATACTATCCTTTCTCTTCTCCACTACCCTTTCAGACCAGCTCGAGCTCTGGCCCCTCCTGTCCAGGCCAAACCTGAGCCATCACTGATGACATCTTCTGAGCCGTGGACCTAGTACACACATTTATTACAAGACTCCTCACACAGTACTGCAATGTTTTATTTACGTGTTTGTCTCCTCTAAGATACTGTGGGTTCCTTGAGGGCAGAGACAAGTGTTTTCATCTCTATATCCAAAGCATCAGTATGAGGCAGGGACAGGATAGCTGCTTAAATGTTCAATAAATTAAAAACTAAACATCTTCCTTGTAACTAGCCAGCCTCCATGTTAACAGTCTGGCGCTGAAGCAAGGAGGCGTAGCCTTCCCCTGGCCATCGGGGGGTGAGGGGGGGCAGGACTCAGACACCCAGCACATGCCAAGCAGGATTGAAGCAAGGAGGCGTAGCCTTCCCCTGGCCATCGGTGGGGCAGGGCTCGGACACCCAGCACATGCCAAGCAGGACACTGCACTAATACTGGAAAACAGTGCCCTCTCCTCTGCAAGATGGAGAGCCCTCCTAGCATCTCAAAGTCATGGGACCCTCTCACCTTGTCTCACTGCCAAGCAGGCCCCCTCTGCAGAGCAAGAGCACCATGAAAGAGCATTCTGTGATTAAATGTGTGGGAAATGCAACAAGCCACGTGGCTCCCTTCAAGCAGCCCAAAACACATCAGTATCCTGAAGGTTCTAGGATGTCCTGCAGCAGACAATCGTGTGACTGGGCTGTAACCCAGTATCTGCCAAACCTGAATACAGAGTCCCATGCCACTTTTGCATATACACCCCTCTTTTTTACTAAAAGTCTATTAACATCCAGTAGAACTAGTCTTCCAAGAGACACAGTTGGGAAAATGCTAACAAAAGTCATCAGGCGAGGGAAACACTGTGGAAGATAACAGCCTCCTGGAGGCAGGGACACATGCGAGGTGAGAAGGATCACCAGAAAAGGGATTATGGCCCAGAAAAAGTGCCAGAGGTCTCTCACTAACCAACACAGAAATTGCTTGGGAGAAAAAGCCCTAGAATTACTTGAGTCCAGTGAAAACAATAAGCATCCATTCTGAACCTTAGTTTTCCCATTTGCAAAATGGGAATAATCAGCCTTGCTCTGTCTGGGGTCGTCAGAAATCATGGAGGTTTGCATTTGTAGAAAACTGACATCCAGCATAGCTCTTGCATATTGTGAGCATTCGATCAAACTTATCAGAGTGGAGTCTGCACAAATACAGAGCTTACAAAAAGAACAGGACAACAGTGAAAAGCTGTCACAGAACCTCAAAGCACATAACTCAAGGGCCATATATTTCATGGGCAAACGGCCCTAGGCCTGCCCATAACCCTTGAAGATGTGAGTACTTTAAATCAGCAAAAATCTCTGATGCTTCTAGCTCCAGGAGCCTCTAGGAGTCCGTGGGAAAAGCACAGGCTCAGAAGCCCACCAGATCAGTTTTAAGCCAGCTCTGCTCCTTTTGGGTATGTAATGGGCATGCAGCTTCACTCTTCCATGTCTGTTTCCCCAGTGTGCAGGATGGGGTTAAAGGATGCTGGCTTCCAGGGTGGCAGTGAGAATGGATGACAATGAAGTCAAGCTGCTGCACACAGTAGATGCCCAATGCCTGTCTACTTAAAGAAGGCTAGGACGTGAGGAACAATTATAAAGACGTCTGTCAGTGATGGCTAAAATGATATCTTTTCTCTCCAATCATGTGAAAAGTTGGCTTTAGCAAGTGGGAGGATGGGAGGATGAAGGAACAGCACCAACTGGATTGACAGGCAGAGGGAGAACACAGTTAGGTTCTGGGCAATGTGGTAACAACTGCCTCTGAAAGCCAGTAGAGCAGGAATTGGTGGTTGGCAGAGCTCATGGTAAAGATTAGAATTCTGCGAAGGCTGCCATCTATTGGGTTCATCCCACAGACCAAGTACTTTATGCAACTGGCTCCAAGCTCCAATTAAGAGGCTATGTAACCCATCTCTGGCTACACAGCTGGCCAGTGCAGGGCTGGACTTGAATTCTGAGCCTTAGTCCAGAATGCAAACTCTTTCCACTCCACCATGCTGCACCATGAGGTTGAGACTGGATCATCCATTCATGTCTTTTCTTGCATGCTGAAGTCCTCAAGGGTGGGGACTGGATCTGGCTTGTCTCTGTACCCCCGACACCCAGCAAAACAGAAATGCAGCAAGTGTTGGATGAATAAGTTACGCACTTGAAAACACTTCAAAAAGCTCCTACATTTAAAAGTCAAGAGTCCTTCTGATTTAACATGGTAGAAAACTACATGGGCTGATGCCCTTTTGAGGGATGTCCCATTAATGCGGTTTAGAGGAAATTCCAAATTCTCTGCTTCTTTGACTAGAAAATGTGAGCACTGAAGTCCTTCCACAATGCATTAGAGTCTTCTGCTCCCACTGAAGTGCAGAAAGCCCTACGGTGAGCAGTGTGGAGTATCAGAGCATCATCTTGCCTGACCACAGATGAGGAAACTAAAGGCCAGAAAGAAGGGGTCTCTCAAGATCATACAATGAGCTTCCTCTTTTTTCCTACATAAAAGGCTGCCTTTGCAATACAGAAAAATGCATTCAACATACATGCCCTGCACTCCTGTTGTATGTTGCATGCAGTAGGTGCAGTTAAGTGCTAGAACAGAGTTATATGCAAAGCAATAGTGGCTGGAGGAGTTGGTTCTGTGTAAGGAAGTCAAGAAAGGCTTCATTTGAGAGGTGACTTAGACTGGGAGGGACAAGTTAGAAGTTTTAAGGGAAGATGTGGCAGAGTAGGCTAATCTCTTGCCAAAACATGCACTGCCCATCTAGGTATAGAGTCGTTGCTGTGAAGCCACTACCTGAACAAAGACTACATTTCCCAAGGTCCTCTGCATCCAGGTGGGGCCATGTGACTACTGGCGACCAATGGAATGTGAGTAGGAGGAGCCAACAGAATGTGAGCAGTTAAGAGCAAGGCAATTAAGAAATGGCTGTGCTTTCTTCACCATCCCTTTCTCCTGCCAGCCAGAAGCAAAGAGTCTGAGGCCCCTGAGAACAGCAGAGCCACAAATGAAAGGAGCCGGGTCCCCAAATCACTGTGTAAAACCACCTGGCCAAGCAGAAGCAGCCATACTGGACTTTATATAAGAATAAGTCTCTCCTGTGTTAGAATTTGTTAAAGCAACAAGCACCACCAACTACTACAGCAGAGAAGGGAAAACAGGTGTTCCAGGCAAAGTGAATAGTGTGACCCAAACACAGCGGTGACAAAGCATGGTGAAGAGCTGAGGGTGGCTGAAACACTGGCTGTGTGAAGACAGTACTGAAATTCAGAAAGCTCACACTGGTAACCACAGGAAGGAGGATCATGTACAGGGATTATTTCCAGGGGCCCTGGTGTTGCTGGCGCTGCTCTCAAAGGAAGAATGGAAGTTGTGAATGGTTTCCTGTAAAATTTGTCTCTCACGTCCCTGTGGAGGAAATTGAAAACAGATACAAAGTCTTGTTAAATCTTTTAACCATTAATCCAATTGACACAGTGTTGTTAATGCTCAACTCATGCTTCAAAAACCTATGGGCATCTTGGGGAAAATAAATTACCTAACCGAGACAGTACCAAGTTTAATAAAAACACTGAGTCAGACTCTCCCCCAGCACCTCCACTCACAGCATGACAAGGGCTGGAGAGACCCCAGAGATACAGGAGTCCAACCCCCCAGAGACGAGGACGGACTGCAGAACCCAGGAAGCAGGACTAACTTGCCCCGGGTCACATGGCCTGGAATGGAGGTCTCCTCCCCTGGCTCACTGTGCATCTTCCCAGCCCTCGGATTTCCAGGGAATTCAGTGACAGCCAAACTTCTTTCTGCTACAGAGAGTTTGAATGGCTTTACTTTCCCTTGCTCCAAAGAAGGATTCATTTC